ATACAGAGTACAAAGGTGATCCCAAATGCAGTGTGACGCAGCATGCAGGACCACTCTGATGGTGCTCCAATGAAAGTTAATGAACATAAGAAACACAAAGTGAGAGAGATGAGCAGCAAGAAGCTCAGCTCAGAGTTGTTGGCCCTGACAATTGGAGTTTTCCTGTGACAAAAGAATACAGCTGCAATTACGATGGTCAGACAGGCACCAAGAACTGAGAATGTAGCCAGGATAATTCCTAGGAGGTCTTGAAAGGAAAGATACTCTACAGGCTTAGGGATGCAAGTGTCTCTCTTTGCGTTAGGCCAGAATTCCTTTTGACAAGGTAAACAATCAGTCGAATCTGGATAAAAAACAAATAAATAAAATTTTTTCTTGATTTTCATATATACACACAATGAAACATTTTAAATGCATGGCAATCATTTCTCTTTACCTGTGCTATTACTGATCTCCCCCTCAGGACATGCTGTACAGTCATAGCAGCAGATGGGTTTTCCTTTCTGCAACACTTTACGAGTTCCTGGAGGACAACTGTCCGTGCACACTGACACTGGCACCTGTCAAAGACAGAAAGGTTGCAGAATAAATGTAAATATTTACTATGCAGCTGTAATCATTGTTTAGTAAAGTTTGACTGCTTACTTTCATGCTACCCTCCATCCAGGTAATGTTTTTGTCGATCTTGAATTCCTGGCCCACGGGCCGTGATGCATCATACAGCCCTACAGTCACTATCTCAGTCACGCCGTTGTCACTTTTCTGCCAGTTAACCAGTTCATAAATAGCCACAGGATCCCCATTAGCATCAAATGACACATCATAGCCATTTCGGGAAAAATTTACTTTCTTCAGCTCAATTAAAATCTGAAAAGATGAAATTAGGTATAATGGGAGGGGAAAGGAAAAAAATTATGCACTATTTCAATAACAAATACTAATATTACATACAATGTTCCCTCTAATCTTTCATGTTTCTGAGCAAACACACAAACTCCCTGAGCGGTCCCTTG